ATGTGACACCTGCCTGCACGTTGAAAGCACTCATGGAATATGATGTGGTTTTCTCCTTTTCTCCTAGAATCCAGTTCTCCCTTATGCTTTTTGCTCTCCAACCACTTCTTTCTTCCTTTACTCTTCCTAAAACATGAAGTTAAAAGTACATATTCTTTAAAATTTGTATACAACTTTCTAGTTATTCATCATTAAGAAGCAAGTACATTTAGTATTTTCTGTTTTTCTCTTTAAAACAAACTCCACTTTTACAGATGAAGATATACTACCTGGCCATCAGTGGATTAACTCGGTGGTTCCCAATTTTGTCTGTACATTTGAATCAGCTGAGGTTCTTTCAACCTTCCAAAGTCCAGGCCACATACCAGACCAATTAAATCGTGGTATCTGAGTATCAATAAATATCACAGGCATCAGTAGTCTTGGAAGCTCTCCAGGTGATGATTATAATATGACTCCAGTGTGCAAATGAGTTTGGGACTACTGGATGAATGAATGGCTTTCTGTTTCTTCCTTCCATAGTGTCTCAGCTACTTCAGCATGTAGTTTTGAATCTTGACTGCACATTAGAATCACCTTGGAGATCTAAGATAATGATGTTCAGGCTCCACCCTGGGTAAGGCCTGGAGATTTCTACCATACCCCCAGCATTAAGAGCTGGATAGTTATGCTTACATGTTATTCTTTCAATTCTCTGTTGTCTTCCTTTTGGCTTTCCGTTTGCTTCCCTCCATGTTTCTCTCCAGTTCAGGGATGATAAATAAGAAGCAGATGTGCCATCCTGCTCTCCTCACAGCCCTCTCTAGAGGAATTGGTGTCCTAGTAGATCCTGTGATCAGGGCAACTCCAGGTTGCCTCCAGTGTCCTTTCGAATATAAAACACTTTCTCCTAGTGTTTTTGATCGGTCGACTCCACGACACATAACAACAAACAACAGTGTTTCTGAAAAACCCTGCCCTTGTCCCCATTCTGGTGCACGTTGAATGTGAAGAGTGATGCAACACTGAGTTCTTGGTTTGTTTTACCCTCAGTATGGGATTGTGTTTGATGCGGGCTCTTCTCACACGACCATGTACATCTACAAGTGGTCAGCAGAAAAGGTGAATGACACAGGACTGGTGTATGAGATAGAAGCCTGCAAGGTCAAAGGTAAGATGAAAAAAAAAAAAAAAAGGGAGAGGGGAAGGAAGATGGGCATAAAACCATGAGAAGTATGGCGAGTGGGAATGAGGATAAGGAGTCCCAAAGTATAGCGAAGAACACAGTGGGATTGCTATTGTTGTTTTATTATCCTTAGAAAAATAATATCAAATCAATCTTTAATGACCTAGTCCTTGAAGTGTAAGTGAACTTAAGGATAATTAATAATAGATTCCATTAATGGAATACTTTTTTGTGCTGGACACAAGGTAAATATTGAACATGCATTATCTCATTTCATCCTCAAAAATCTCCCTTTGAAATGGGTATTATTATTGTCATTTTTAAATCAGGAAAGTGAGGTAGGAAGAGGATATTATCACTTGTTTAAAGTTACTTGTGCTAGTGATGAAGCTGGCGTTCAAACCAAGAATTCAAACCCCTGCTCTGATTTCTCACACTTGAACCTACGAGAGGATTACCTGTTGTTGGTTATCATTGAGTTGGCCTTCCACTCGTAGTAGTTTTGTAGGACATAGGCCTGGGGAATGGCTTCTCTAAGGATTACTGTCAGGAAAACCCTAGGGAGTGGTTCTGCTTTATAGCACATTATGTCATCAGGAAAATCACCTGCAGGGCTTGTTACAACACAGATGCTGGAGCAGCAGTTGCATAGAGGGAAAACTGGACGGACAGAAATGCATGGATAGGAAGGGCTCAGGGATGGGGTAGTCACAGGGAGGAAAGGGGAGGAGAGTTTTTTATGGTTGGGGATGGTAATGGGGCCATGAAATCAACTGTGCATGAACTATTGGATGTAAAATAAGTCTGTTTTATAAATTTGCACCCAAAGCACAGTTAAAAAACAAGCAAAAAAAAACAGATGCTAGGCTCCAACCCTAAAATTTCTTATTTGATGGGTCTGGGGTGGGGTGTAACCATTTGTATTTCTAACAAGTCCCCAGATTCTGAAGCTGCTTGGTCCAGAGAATTACTACTCTTAATCATTGTTCTCTAGTTTACAGCCTGGAAGACGTTTTCTAAAACATTTAACTTATGTACAGGAAGAGAAGACCAAATTATAGGTTCAGAGAATGATCATAGTCTTAAAGCTGAAAAAAGGATCATGGATCATTTAAATCTTGCTTTGGAGAAAAGAAAAACCTAGAACATTAGTGGTTTGGAAGTAAGCAACAGAACCAAGGTCCCAGCAGGGCTTTGAACTGGTTCAACCCCTTGCTGAGAATTTTCATTTCCATCCCAGCTATATGGAATCAGAGTCTACATTTTAACAAGCTCAGGTGATTCTTTTGTATACATGGGGATCTGTAAGAATCTCCTGCGGACCTTGTTAGAATGTAGATTCTGATTCAGGATAGCTGGGATGGAAATGCAGCTTCTCAGCAGGGGGTTGAACTGGGCCGTGCTGGTTTGAAGCCCTGGATTCTAGGTCTTCTAAGTGCACTGCCACTGTGATTCTCTGCATTACATACTGACACTTTCTTCTAGTTAGTTTTCTTTTAAGGCCCCAGGTTAGAGTTCAGCTCTACCCCCTCCCACTCAACACCCCTCCAGGCTTAAAACATCACGACAAGTGCCATAATCTCTCTGATCTTTGCCTCTCTTGGCCTTTTCAGCCAAGGACCTGTTGGTTATTTTTAGTCAGACAGGTAACCTAGTCCCCAGAAGATAACTGACTTTTAGTTTGGTGACCTCTAGAGTCCACTATTATGGTTTGTCAAGAAAGCAGTAGAGGAGATGGTTCCAAAAGAGCAAGTCATTCTACTTAGTAGCCTGGTGCTCTGAAACTTGGTCCCATCAACATTGAGACAATACTTCTAACATTTCTTACAGCTCATATCTCTCATTGTATTGGTTTCTGTTTAATTAATTCACTGCCTTCCATTTTTCAGAGTGTTTTTGTTTTAATCTAGCAGATGTCTTTCTTCTGCATCCAATGGGTGTGTGCCCTAACAAATGCAGTAATTTTCCCATCTTAAAAGAGAGTGACCTCCTTTATCTAATCAAGTATTTAGATAGAAAGATGATCTGAAAATTACCAGTCCTTGAAGGCCAGACTTCCTGAATTGAAACAGCTAATTGATCATTTAGGAGCTCTGGTAGCATAGTGCCTAAGGCACTTGACTGCTAACCAGAAGGCTGGCGGTTCAAACCCACCAGCCACTCCTCGGAAGGAAGGTTGGGCAATCCTACTTCCGTAGTGATACTGCCTCGAAAACCCAAGGACGGGTCGCTATGAGTCGGGGCTGACTCGACGGCAAATAACAACAACAACAACAATTGATCATTTAGAGCTGATTTTTCTCATTGCAATGAATAAACAGACTGACTAAAACCTGTGAGTAACCTGGATAACTCATCTAGATGATTGCCTCTAAAGCAAATACAGTAAAGCACTGATATAGTTAAGATATATTTATCTTCAAATGAGACAAAAATGTTGTTAACTTCAAAAAGCTTAAGGAACCTTGCCTGTAATCCTCTTCATTATAAACAATTTTGCTCTTAAACTGGAAACACACTTTTACTACAGAGGCAGCGTATCAGAGTGGAAAATTGCTGAGGACACATGGATTCTACTTCTGGTTCTTCTAACAAAGGAAGAAATGCCACTTGGGAAATTTTAGCGGAGTAGTCATGATCACAGTAATCACAGAGCCTGTTAGTAGCAGCTATCATCTTTTCTGTAAAAGCCAATGTGCTTGCTGCTTATTTTATTTTTTTGTCCTAAATATCATCTTTCTCTTTTTATGTCTTCTGTCTTCTAGGATCTAGTTTGTTAATTACAGCTTTGTGGAAGAAACATCATCTGTATAGAGTAGCTATCTGTAAGATCCTTGTTAAAATCTGACCCTACGTATGAGGAAGGTTATTCAATTGAGTATGAGAATCTCGCCATCCAGTGGTAAAATTATTGAACAGCGGATAGACTCATCCCAAAGTCTGAAAAGAAATCCGATCAAGGCTTGTTTATTCCCTAAGTACAGCTATCTAATGTAGATCACATCAAATAATTCATTGTTTTCTTGCATGTGCTCATGAAACACTGGTGTTTTGTTCTAATACTGGCAAGTTATGAAAGTCTTATGTTTGGGGAGATATGGCTAAACATTTTTTTTTTCCAATAAGGATTGCCATTTTCTTTTACACATTTCTCTAGGTCCTGGAATCTCCACATATGCTACAAAGTTACAAGAGCTACCTATTTACCTGACTCAATGCATGGGAAGAGCTAAGGAGCTGATTCCAAAGTACAAGCACCAAGAGACACCTATTTACCTGGGGGCCACAGCAGGCATGCGGTTGCTCAGGTAGAGAGCAGCATGTAGAGACCAAGAACAACTGGGAGTTAGGTTTGGCAGTACAAGAGCATCTGAATTAATGAGAGAGTGCCACACTTCCCTGACACCCCAAATTCTACACATGCCAAATGTCTGCACCTAAGAAAGACAATTTCAACAAACGAACAATAATCCCAACCTACTATGTACAATGGTAGAATCTTAAGCATGTCAAAAAGGCCTCCTGCCCATCTCCCCATGGGGAACTCAAGAAGGGGGCACAGGGAGGGAAAGATTGAACCTGTATTCTGGGATTTGGCCATTTAATATCTGAGAGGGAGGATTAAACCAAAAATCCCAAACTCACTGCTGTCAAGTAGATTTGATTCATAACGACCCCTCCTTGGGTTTCTGAGGCAGTATCTCTACAGAAGTAGATTGCCCGATCTTCCTTCCAAGGAGTGGTTAGCAAATGCATTAGGCAGTACGCTACCACAGCTCCCAAGAGGGAGGATTGGAGGAGACTAATGCAAGTGCCATGGGAGTACACTAGGCCCTCCCCAAGATGAAGGAGTTCAGGAAGACTTAACAGAGGAGGGGACCCTTGAAGTTGAATCATAGATGATGGGAGAAGAGCATTACAGGCAGAGTAGACAGCATGTGTTTAGTAACCAATGTTTATTTAGCACCTATTGTATATTAGGTATAAGGAGCCCTGGGGTCACAATGGTTAAGCATTGGGCTGTTAACTGAATGGTTCGCAGTTTGAACCCACCAACAGCTCCATGGGAGAAAAGACCTGGTGGTCTGCTCCTGTAAAGATTACAGCCTAAGAAACCATATGGGTGCAATTCTACTCTCTCATATAAGGTCACTAACCAAAACCAAACCAAACTCACTACTGTTGAGTTGGATCTGACTCATAGCATCCCCTCCTTGGGTTTCTGAGGTAGTCTCACTAAGGAAGTAAATTGCCAAATTATTGGAATCTACTCATCAGAACACAGCAACACCAACAATATGTGTTAGGCAGGAGCTTGGATGGTATAAGCAGTTTGCAATCAGCTGCTAACCTAAAGGTTCGAACCTAGTCAGTGTCTCTGAAGAAGGAAGGCCTGGCGAATTGCATCTGTAAAGATTACAACAAAGAAAACCCTGTGGAGAAGAACTACTCTGTAACACATGGGTTCTCCATCAATCAGGAGCTGACTTGATAGTAACTAACAACAACAGTGTGTTAGGCATTATTTTAAATGCTAGGGATATAGCAGTAAACAGGAAAAAGTACCCATGGATGAGACAAGGGCATTGTTCAGAGGACTATAAATAGTTCCACATAGGTAGAACATAGGGTACATTTAGTAAAATAATAGCAGTTAGGGACTGATAAATTATGGGAAAGCTTTATGAATAGCTGTGAAACATTGTTAGATATAGTGCCAGAAGATGAGCCCCTCAAATTGGACCAAAAAAAAAAAAAAAACAACCAAACTCAATGCTGTTGAGTTGTGTCTGACTCATAGTGACCTCTCCTTGGGTTTCCTAGGCGCTATCTCTATAAAAGTAGATTGCCCAGTCTTCCTTCTGAGGAGTGGCTGGTGGGTTTGAACCGCCAGCCTTCTGGTTAGCAGTCAAATGCCTTATGCACTATGTCACTCAAAACGTGACTGGGGAAGAGCTGCCTCCTCAGAGTAGAGTTGGTCTTAACAACGTGGATGGAGTAAGCTTTCAGGACCTTCATTTACTGATGGGAGACAACTGAAAATGGGAGCAAACATCCACAAACATTCATTAACAACTGGAATGTGGATTGTACAAAGTAGGAATCTAGGAAAATTGGAAGTTGTCAAAAATGAAATAGAATGCATAAAGGTCAATATCCTAAGCATTAGTGAGCTGAAATGGACTGGTATTGGTAATTTTGATTCAGACAATCATATGGTCTACTAGGCTGGGAATGCCAATTGAAGAGGAGTAGCATTGCATGCATCATCAAAAAGAATGTTTCAAGATCTACCCTGAGGTACTATGCTGTCAGGATAGAATAATATTCATATGCCTACAAGGAAGACCAGTTAATACTACTGTTATTCAAATTTATGCACCAGCCACTAAAGCCGAAGATGAAGAAATTGAAGATTTTTACCACCTTCTGCAGTCTGAAATTGACCAAACACGCAATCAAGATGTATTGATTATTACTGATTATTAGAATGTGACAGTTGGAAACAAAGAAAAGGATCACTATAGTTGGAGAATATGACCTTGGTAATAGAAATGATGCCAGAGATCACATGATAGAATTTTGTAAAACCAATGACTTATTAATTGTAAATACATTTCTTCAACAATATAAACATCAGCTATACATGTGGACCTCACCAGATGGAATACATAGCAATCAGATTGACTACATTTGTGGAAAGAGGTGATAGAGAAATTCAGTATCATCAGTCAAAACAAAGCCACAAGCTGACTATGGAACAAAACCATCAACTGCTCATATACAAGCTCAAGTTGAAGCTGAAGAAAATTAAAACAAGTCCATGAGAGCCAAAATTGATTATATGCCACCTGAATTTAGAGACCATCTGAAGATAGATTTAATGCATTGAACACCAATGACCGAAGACCAGATGAGTTGTGGGATGACATCAAGTACATCAAACATGAAGAAAGAAAAAGGTCATTAAAAAGGTTGAGAACAGACCAAAACAGAAGTCGGAGGAGACACTGAAACTTGCTCTTGAATGTAGAGTAGCTAAAATGAAGAAGTGATGAAATAAAAGAGCTGAACAGAAGATTTCAAAGGGTAGGTCAAGAAGATGAAGTAAAGTAATGCAATGAAATGTTCAAAGACCTGGAATTAGAAAACCAAAAAAAGAATATGCTTAGCATTTCTCAGGGTAAAAGAACTGAAAAGAAAATTCAAGCCTCACATTGCAATACTGAAGAATTCTATGGGCAATATAAGGAGCTCTGGTAGCACAGTGCCTAAGGCAGCTGACTGCTAACCAGAAGGTTGGTGGTTCAAACTTACCAGCCACTCCACAGAAG